CTTAGAAAATGGTGCTTTCATTCAATATTTCCTTAGGTGCTAGTCCCAACCAGGCAATACAAACACAAAATCCTTTCCAGAAAGTGGACTGAATCTTCCCTCTGTCCTCTAAATCAGGCTGGTTTTTAGCATTACACAGGAGTATAGTTTTAAAAAATATCAGCACTGTTTTACTTGCTGTGGTTCATCCACCTCCAATAGCTGGATAGCTGCTGGTCAGCAACCTGCTTGCTTGTGTTCAGGGTGCCGGGGCACCGTAGGTGTGCTCAGAGAAGGATGGGGAATGCACCAGGATGCAAAGGGATGATGTGGATTAAGGAAAGATGAATCACAGTGTCTTCTTCATTATAGGTAGGGGCAACGTCTTGTGGGATAATGTGGGAAATGTCCCTTCCCCCCTTGTTTGCCTGTGCAGTAATTACAGGTTTGTCCTGGTAGCCTTAGTGCTAAACAATAGTCTACAGGCAGTCATGAAAAAAATAATGTGTGAACTGTTTTGCTACAGAAAGTAGCTATTTCCTCCGTGTTATCTTATATTACTATAACTTTCTCCCTCTTCCTGCCCATTTAGGAAACAAAACAAAACAAACTCAGATTTAAATTGGAGTCTCATAAAATCATTTCAGAAGCCTTTTCCCTCTGCTCTCCCCACCCCTAACCTTTCAGTCTGGAATTATGCTTACTTCTAGTCACTAACATTTTGCAAGTGCTTACATGACCTTCTACATCAGCATCTTGAGCTGCTCCCTGTAGCGTTGCTGAGCAAGTAGACACTATATGTCTATGGACCTCCCATCTCACACTGCCGTTTTCATTTGCTGCCATTCACCTTTTTTTCAGACCAGTGCAGCTTCAAGTCAGAGGTAGCTCTGAAGTAAAGTAACTTCTCCTGTGTAAAATCTTGTGCCCTCACATTTAGCCATCACACTTTCAGGCAGCACTGGCATCTGCCTAATACTTATTTCTTTTATCTGTAAGTACTTCCCACCCCAGACTTTACAGTTATTCAGTAAGCAGAACAACTGGTACCCATAGCTGAGATTCTGATCAAGAAGTGTTACGTTAACCTTGTTCAATGAGAATTGTGTTAATGCTCTGTACCTCAAACCACAGAGAAGGGAGTAACCATATGAACAATAAACTATATTTCTTCCTCCTGCATTAGTAACAGGACTACCATGCCATGGGATCATAAATCTTTTGGGGTGACTTGAATAGATCTGAAATGTCATGCTGGACTTCTGTTTAAACAGTCTGGTTTATTCTGGGTTTTTTTCATTGTAAAACAATTGCAGACAGCAGATTTGCGCTAGCAATGAAAGTGCTGTTTTTCTTCTTTTAAGTTTCAAAAGGTAAAAAAAAAAATAATTTCTGGAATCAGCATACTCAAAACTGTCATAAGAACTAGCACAGCTCCCGGTCTACAATGGTTTAAATGACTGGTATATCACCGAAGTTTAAGCCATTGGTACATCTTCCCTCTCCTCTCTTATCTCATTGCTGTATGTCCTTCTAGGTGATAGAATAAATATAGATTCCACAGCAAGCAGTAACAGTTGCATTAGCGAATGGGTTATCTCCCTGAGGCAGTGTGTATATTTCCACATTAATTTTCTGATACTTCATTTTTTCAGAGGATTTGTGCAGGATCCCCACCTGTTATATTTTATGGACTCTTTACCCAAGCGGACTAGTCATTACTAACCTGCATTTCACTCATTAGCACTTGATATCTCATTTAGAGACTAATTCACTCTCAATTTTGTTAGAGGTTATTTTCACAAATAGGATGTAGGCAGATAGAGCAAAAGACTCATCACAGGAGAGTACTTCTAATGGTAGCATGAAAATACACTAAGGGTTTCCAAATATGTAATAGCTCATAAAGAAAATCTGATACTACTTTAGATATGCTTTCCATGAATTAAAAGATATTATGATGCTCTACCTTAATAGCTGTGACTTGGAAATATCAGTACCATGTTCTTTCTTACAGGATAAAGCATAGTAACAAGGCAGGGGATTGTACATTCTGGTAGGGTTTTTGTTAAGGAAAGTTTCCAATGTAAAGATTTGTATAAAGATATTCTAAGTCTTCCTGCATGTTTGTATTTGGATCATAAATCAGACCGGGCTTAGAGGTGAAGTGTCTACATATTTTCTGTGAGGTGAGCACACTGAAAATATCAAAAGGGCTTTGAATTTCACAGTACAGATTTTCTTAGGTCAAATATTAGACCTAAATATCTGAGTTTCTCTGTTTCAGAATATCTGATGGGTGAGATAAATAGAAATTAAATGAGTAGGAAACAAATTTTGCCCTTCCTGCACGCTGTATCCTTGCAGACATGGACCTCACCTCTTTCCTTCAAGCCAGAAACTTCCAGTGGCAAGAAGCTCTGCAAGAAACACTCTGGGCAAACACGGAGCCTGTCAAGCATCTTCTTTTCTGTCATTGGTCAACAACTACATCTGTGTCTACCCTTTGGTCTTCTCAGGAGTTCATCTATCTCTTCTCCTGCCTTGGACTTCCTGATACATATTCTTCTGTCCCTCCTCTGTGCTGCAGAAGCTTTTCCAGTGGCACAAACACCATTGCTCTGAAGAAAAAAAAAAAAAAGGTCTCCCTTCTCATCCATAAGGTCCTTATCTGAGTCAATGAACGGCAGTGAGGATAAGACCAAAAACCTTCCTCCCCAGTGCACAAACACTTTCTCTAGGTGAACATGTAAAGCCTGTTGTATTCCTGGCACTCCCCTTTCAAAGAGACCTGGGAAAAGAGGAGAGGTGGGGAATAAACAGCATTACTTGGCAGAGGAAACCTTGCCTTTCTTACACAAGCTCAGTTTCAGCTAGCTGGCTGGGCGAGCCAGTGGATAAATGTGCCCCCGCAACAGCACAGGCAAATGGCTGGAGCCCCATGGGAAGCAGGGTGAGCCTTCGTTACGCCATGAGCAAGTCACGCCAACGTAGGTAGGTCTGTAGGATGTTGCAGCTAAGGTTGTCATTGCAGAGTAGGTCACATCACGATTCTTCCTGCCGCTCTACGTGACTCTAGTTGGCTACATGCCTCCCCATACTTATGGAGGTGCAAGTGCCTTGGGGCTTGGTCTACTCTTCAATTACTTCTCCAAGTCATTAAGGGGTAGGCTGCTACAGAACTGCTACATTTATCATTGGTGTTTGTGCTGCCTCAGAGATGCTAAGAATTTCTCATCACAACATTGTTACTGATTAGACCACAGCATTCATCCTTTTGACATAATGCTAGACACAGCAGGCAATTCCATGTTTGTGTTTCATTCAGTTAGTTTGCTATAATTTCTCTAAGGAACAGTTGGGATTTCATGTTATATTTTAAGGAACGTACCTTTCTTTTTCCCTTTGGTTCTTTCTGTGCTGCAACAAAAAAAAAGCCCTGGTCCATTATTTAAGTGAATTGATGCAGTTCTGTTTTCCTGCACATGAAATCAGGGTCAGTGACTCTGTGCTTCCAGCAGCAAAATGAAGTGGAGTTGCCTGTGAGCACCACCGAAAATCATGTCAAAGTGATACTGCTTCTGCCAACAGCAGACACAGGGTAAAATCACTGCAGAGGAGGATTGAAAATGAGGGGCGCCTCATTTTGAATAACAAATAAACCCCTCTCTCACTTGTAACAAGTGGGAGCTGGAAAGAGAGAAGCCTTTTTCCCATTTCAGGAGCTTGAGACTGTTTTAAGCAGATGTTTATAACTGAGATGAAGTCCCTATCAAAGGTCACCAAAAGTGAATATAGTCTAAGTCTAGATAGGATCTTCTTTCATGAGCAGACTAGCTATAAAATGCATGTTCGTGATACATTTCTTAATCTTTTTTCATGTTTCTCAATTATAATGTCCTCTAGGCATTTATAACTGCAATTTGCCTTATTTCCAAATTGCTGGAGAAAGATTCTGATATCTGATAACTCTTTGACTCTGGTTTCCCTTCGTTCTGCACATGTAACTCTTAGCTCCCTCAAAACTGGAAGAGATTAAATAAAACAGAGTTATTGTTCAGAGGAGGAAAAATGACCAGGGCAGGTATCTGTGGGATTTTTTATTAAGTAAAGAAAATTTAGTGGGATCAGTATAGGATAAAGAGATTTACAAAAACATGGCTATGGACCAATCTTCATCCGCTGTAAACAATTCCAGTTTAACTGAATTAACAGTGAAAAATACCAGCTGAGGACTTGGGTAACATTTCCACTTTAACTGATCCACTGTGATTCACCGATGTATCCGTTACTCCTTTTCTTGGTAACTCCCATAAAAGGGGAACCTGCTATCATCTTCAGTCGTTTGATATGCTGGAGAAAAATACTTTTGCAATAAATCATAATAATAATGCACCTCAGATGGTCTTTTACATTAATAATACCTTCATTTTCTCCCCGGAGAATGCCCACATTGCCAAGCTTTTGCACAGCCTCTGGATAAGTTAGGATATAGACATCATGACCCACATCCCACATAGTCACAGAATGTCCCAAACTACGTACTTTTCTTAAAAAAGAACAGTAAAAAAAAAAAAAAACAGAATGGCCTCAATTTGGCAAGCATGGAGACACCTCTGTAACGTCATGCATTCAGTCACAGCTGACTTCAGCATTTGTCTTCAGGTGAGGAAACCCATGATTCCTCTGGTTAAGCTATTAAGTATTTAGTATTCTATTCAACAGCACAAGCCCCTAATATCTATCTGGGGATTTTAAAAGCAAATAATATTGAAAAAGAAGCAACCAAGTAAAACAACTTTGTATTGCAAATTACAGAGTTTTGCTGTCTTGGATAAAGTATTTTACCAGCTTATTAATGATTTATTTGTTGTGTTTCATTTTCAAAAACAAATTCAGGTTTATTGATTTATTAGCTCTTCCTGCTAATTTCTGTAAAGCCTCCTATATGCATCAGTCTTTATGAAACCACTGCATGGGTTAACAGCTAATTTACTCTTCTTTTTTTTTTTTTATTCTAGTATTCTCAAATGCGGGACGAAGTATTCAAATCAAACTTGGTGTGCGCATTTATTGTTCTTGTATTTATCACCGCTATCCAAAGCTTACTTCCTTCTTCCAGGTAAATACAGAAAGATATTGCTATATAACTGAAGGTGCTCTTGGGGAAACAGTGGGATAACATTTCTAGGACTGACATGGAGTGAGCCAATAAAATCTGCTTATTCTCCAAAACGTTTGGAAATATTTTTGCACTTTTTTCCCATTGTTATTTATTTTTGTTATCACGTTATCTGCAGCTACATATTTTCAGGTGAGACAGCAACATCTACTGACATTATGTTGTTACGTTTTTAAGCAGAACCCCCACTGAGATAAGTGGGAACCTTGGGCTACAAAAGTTTGACATGGTATGGACTGCTGCTTCCAGTGCAGTAAAACTTTATCCAGTAAAACTTTATCCAGTAAAACTTTATCCAGGCTTATAACAGTGCCTCTTTGCTAAATGACTGGTAATCACCTTCAGAATCAGTGACTGTTTTGGTTTTGTTTCTTACATGTTACCTAAGAAAATTGTACTCTTTGTTGATAATGATACATATTACCCAGCTGGGGAAAGCAATCTTGTGCCATTATAAAGAAGCAAACAGGTGATCTGGTAGATCTTTTCCTACTTCTGCTTTTATCTGGGGCTGACCAAGAAACAACTTCTTATCAAGGTGACGAAAACATGACATAGCTGTGATCTGTGTCCACATGTTTCACACAGTCAAACCCATCAACTGGTATTTTTGTCTACTATTTAATAATAACACAAAGGTGTATACAAGGACTATGGTCAGTTTTCTAGCATCATAGCAGATCCAGCAGAACATGACTGCTGCTAAAACAAGCCCCTGGTCCCATCTGGTCTTTGGCAGAGCAAGTGCGAAAGTGGAAATGCCCAGATGAACATAATTCTCAGGTGGTTTCTAACACTCAGATGAACCTTAACTTACAGCTGCCTGTAGAATAACCTTGAAAATACAGTACTTGCATAAGAAATAAGATCTTTATTGTGTTACAGTAATGCAGAAATATTTCTTGGACCATCTTTGGAAGACCTGGTTCACCATGTTTATGTCTAAGAATACCAAAATGGTGATAAGATGCACTCTGCAGCAGTGGTGTCCCATGTAGAATCATAGAATCATAGAATATCTTAAGTTGGAAGGGACCAATGAGGATCATTGAGTATAACTCCCTGCTCCTCGCAGGACTATCTAACACTAAACCATGTGACTAAGAGCATCATCCAGACGCTCCTTGAACTCTGACAGGCTTGGTGCAGTGACCGCTTCCCTGGGGAGCCTGTTCCAGTGACTGACAACCCTCTTAGTGAAGAACCTTTTCCTAATGTCCAGTCTGAACTTCCCCTGACGCAGCTTCATTCCATTTCCTCGTGTCCTATCGCTGGTCACCAGAGAGAGGAGATCAGCACCTCCCCCTCTACTGCCCCCCTAGAGGAAGTTGTAGACTGTGATGAGGTCACCTTCAGCCTTCTCTTCTCCAAGCTGAACAAGCCAAGTGACCTCAGCCGCTCCTTGTAAGTCTTGCCCTTGAGGCCTTTCACCATCTTGGTTGCCCTTCTCTGGACACACTCTAATAGTCCTTCTTATATTGAGGCACCTGAAACTGCACACAGTAGCCGAGATGGGGCCGCACCAGTGCAGCGTAGAGTGGGACAATCACCTCCCTCGACCAGCTAGCTATCATAGAATCATAGAATCATTAAGGTTGGAAAAGACCCCTAAGATCATCGAGTCCAACCGTCAACCCAACACCACCAGGCCCACTAAACCATGTCCCTAAGCGCCTCATCTACACGTCTTTTGAATACTTCCAGGGATGGTGACTCCACCACTTCCCTGGGCAGCTTGTTCCAAGGCCTGACCACTCTTTCAGTGAAGAAGTTTTTCCTAATGTCCAGTCTAAACCTCCCCTGGTGCAACTTGAGGCCATTTCCTCTCGTCCTATCGCTAGTTACATGCTGTGCTTGATGCACTCCAGGACATGGTTGGCCCTTTTGGCTGCCAGGGCACACTGTTGACTCATATTCAACTTGCCATCAAGCCAAACCCCCAGATCTCTTTCCGTGGGGCTGCTTTCCAGCCTCTCATCCCTCAATCTGTACGTATAACCAGGATTACTGCATCCCAGGTGGAGAATCCAGCACTTGCTCTTGTTAAATTTCATACGGTTGGTGATTGCCCAACCATGTATTTTGTAGTTGTTCTCAGCTGGGAACATGCCCATAATATCTAACTTCCTGCTGTTCTTTATGAGCTCTATTGCTCTAATACTAGTAAGTTTGTTTGCTTTTCTGAAGTCCTTCTCCCAATACACATTTAAAATTTTTCACTTCGGGTAGCCGTTATTTTTATTTTTTTCTCAGTACGTACATGAAGATTTATGGATCTTATTAATGGAACCTGTTTTCCAAAAAGATTTCTGCTGCTATATCAATCACTGTTATACTAGCAAAAAAAACCATGTCATTTTTCCTGTCTGCACAGATTCTTGTGAGGGTGTCTAGTGCCATTGGAATTAGGGGAGAAGGAGTCACATAACCACATTACCTGCAGCTATCTCACTTTCTGGTTGCACAGTAGTCTTGTGTTTTTCCCTGCACTTCACAAATTCTTTGTGGACTTTTTGTCACTGAATGTTAAAGAGGCTGTAAATATAAATAGCTTCAAATAAAGATTAGATAAATTCCTACAATATAAGATCAACAGAGGTTTTTAAACAAAATTATGGAACCTTGGCCTCAAGAATGCCCTTAAAGGTTGATTGCTGGAACCTGGGAAGATATTTAGGG